GACTCCCCCCTCCAGGGAGGAGGTCTCCTCTTACCCAGGTGTTGGTGGTGCCCTGTTCACCACCGAACCCAGGGTAGGTGGGACTCCCCCTTCTGGGAGGGCGTCCCCTCTAACAGGGGTGTTGGGATGCCCGGGACTCCTCCGCACCTGGGTGGAGGGGAGTCTGTCCTCCAGGTGGTAGGTACCCTCTAACCCGGGTGTCAGGGGGCACTCCAGACACTGCCCCACGGGAGTTGGAAGGGACTCCACCCTCCAGGGGCAATGTTCCCTCTAACTTGGGTTCAGGGGAGCTCCCACCACCACCAGATCAAGGGGAATACCTCCTCCAGGGGGAGGTCCCTCAAACCTGAATGTCGGGGGCAGCTCTCCATTCACCCAGGTTCGAGGGGAATCCCCCTCCATGGGGGTGACCCTTCAAACCTGTGTGTGGGGAAGAGTTCGTATACCATTGTCCCCAGTGTCAAGGGGACTTCCCCTCCAGGGGGGAAGACCCCTCAAACCTGGGTGTCGGGAGGAGCTCATATACCTTCGCCTCAGGGTCGAGGAAAGTCCGCCTTCCAGGGGGGAGATCCCTCCAACCTGGATGTAGGGGGGAGCTCCTACCACCCCTAGGGTGGAAAGGACTCCCCCATCCAGGGGGGATTCTCCTCAAATCTGGGTTTTCCGGGTAGCTCCAACCGCCTCCAAGGTCAAGGAGATTCCCCCCTCCAGAGGAAAGACCCCTTGAACCTGGGTGTCAGGGGGAGCTCATATATCATTGCCCCCAGGGTCCAGGGGATTCCCACCTCCAGGGGAGAGACCACTGGAACCTGGGAGTCAGGGGAGCTCCCATCGTCAGCTGGGTCAAGGGGAATCCCCCATCCAGGGAGGCGACATCTCCAACATGGGTGTCGGGGGAAGCTCGTATACCATCGACCCCGGGGTCGAGGGGAGTCCCCCCTCCAGGGCAGTGACCCCTCGAACATGGATGTCATGGGGAGCCCCCATTGCCCCTGGGATCAAGGCAACTCCCCCCTCCAGGGGGGAGACCCCTCGAACATGGATGTCAGGGGGAGATCGTACACCATCACCCCCAGTGTCAAGTGGATTCCCCCCTCCAGGGGACAGACTCCTCGAATTTGGGTGTTGGGGGGACCTCACACCGCCCCCTGGGTGGAGGGGACTCCCCCCTTCAGTGGGGAGACCCCACGACATACCTGGGTGTCAAGGGGAGTTCATATACCAATGCCCCCAGGTTCAAGGGGAGTCCCCTCTCCAGAGGGGTGACCTCTCAAACCTGGGTTTCACGGGGAGCTCCCACCACTTCCAGGGTCAAGGGGACTCCCCCCTTCAGGGGAGAAACCCCTCGAACCTGGGTGTTGGGTGGAGCTCATATTCCATTGCCCCTAGGGTGGAGGGCAGTTCCCCTCCAGCGGGAATTCCCCTCGAATCTGAGTGTTGGGGGGAGCTCCCACCACTCCCAGGGTCAAGGGGACTCCCCCTCCAGGGGGAGAACCCTCAAACATGGTTGTTGAGGGGAGCTCATATACCATCGGCCCCAGGGTCGAGGGTAGTGCCCCCTCCAGGGGCAAGATCCCTGGAACATGGTTGTTGTGGGGAATTCCAACCACCACCAGGTTCAAGGGGACTCCTCCCTCCTGAGTGAGACCCCTCGAACCTGGGTGTTGGAGGAAGCTTGTATACCATTGCCCCCAGGGTTGAGTAGAGTCACCCATCCAAAGGCAAGACCCCTCAAACATGGGTATCGGGGGGAGCTTCTACCGATACCAAGGGTCGAAGGGACTCCCCCGCTCCAGGAGCGAGACTCCTTGAACATGGGTCTTGGCGGGGGCTCCCAAGGCACCCAGGGTTGAAGGGACTCCCCCATACAGGGGCGAGACTCCTCGAACCTGGGTGTCTGGGGAAGCCTTCACAGCCCCCTGGGTCGAGGAGACTCTCCCTAGAACCTGGGTGTTGGGGGGAGCTCGTATACAATCACCCCCAGTGTCAAGGGGAGTTCGCCTCCAGGGGGGACACCCCTCGAAACTGGGTGTCAGAGAGGGCTCCCACTGCCCACAGGGTGGAGGGGACTCCCCCTTCAGGGGGGAGAACTCTGGAAATTCGTGTCAGATAGAGCTTGTATACCATCGCCCCAGGGTGGAGGGGAGTCCCCCCTCCAGGGGAGAGATCCCTTAAACCTGGGTGTGCCAGAGAGCTCCAACCGCCCCAAGGGTCGAGGAGACTACCCCTTCCAGGGGTGGGGGGGACCACTAGAACCTGCGTGTCAGGGGGACCTCCCACCGCACCCAGGGTCTAGGGGACTCCCCTCTCCAGGGGCGAGACCCCTGGAACCTGTGTGTCGGGAGGAATTCCAACTGCCCCCAGGGTCTAGGGGATTCCCCACTCCAGGAGGAGACCCCTTGAACCTGGATGTTGGGGGGAGCTTCCACCGCTCCCAGGGTTGAGGGGACTCCCCCATCCAGAGGGGAGACCCATCTAATCTGGGTGTAGGAGGGAGCTCCTATACCATTGCCCCCAGTTTCCAGTGGAATCCCCACACCAGGGGGGAGACTCCTCGAACCTGGGTGTTGGGGGGAGCTCATATACCATCGCCCCCAGGGTCGAAGGAAGTCCCTCCTCCAAGTGCAAGACCCCTTGAACATGGGTGTTGGGGGGAGATCCCACCACACCCAGGTTCAAGTGGACTCCCCCCTCCAGGGACAGGACCCCTCGAACCTCGTTGTTCATGGGAGCTCCCACTGGACACCCAGGGTCAAGGGGACTCCCCCCTCCAGGGGCAATACCCCGTGAACCTGGTAGTCGGCTTGAGCTCCCACTGCACTCTCCAGGGGCTAGACCCCTCGAACCTGGGTGTAGGCCAGAGCTCCCACCACCCCCAGGGTCAAGGTGACTTCCCCCTCCAGGGAGGAGACCCCTCGAACCTGGATGTCAAGAGGAGCTCCCACCACCCCCAGGGTTGATAAAACTCTTCCCCTTGAACATGTGTGTCAAGGAAGCCTCTACCTCCCCCAGGGTTGAAAAAACTCTCCTCTCCAGAAGAAAGACCCCTGGAACCTGGGCATCTGGAGAGCTCCCACAACCACAGAGTCGAGGAGACTCCCCCCTCCAGAGGGGAGACACCTCGAACCTGAGTGTCAGGCGAACTCCCATTGCCCATATTGTTGAGGGGACTCCCTCATCGAGGGTGGAGACTCCTTGAACCTGGGTGTCGGAAGGAGCTCCCACCGCCCCCAGGCTCCAGGGAACTACCCTATCCAGGGGTGAGACACCTCGAACCTGGGTGTCAGGGGGAGCTTGCATACCATCAGGCCAAGTGTTGAGGGGAACCTGGGTGTCGGGAGGAGCTCCCACTGCCCCCATTATCTAGGGGAGTTCCCCCTCAGGGGGAAGATGCCTCAAACCTGGGTGTTTGAGGGAGCTCCCATAGCACACTGCGTCGAAGGGACTCCCCCCTTCAGGCGAGAGAACCCTTGAAATGTGTGTCAGGGGTTGCGTGTATACCATCACCCCAAGGGTCGAGGGGACTCCACCCTCAAGGGGGAGACCTCTCAAACTTTGGTGTCAGGGGAGTTCATATACCTTCGTCCCCAGGATTGAGAGTTGTCCCCCATCCAGGGGCGAGACCCCTTGAACCTGGGTGTCAGGGGACCTCCCACCGACACCCAGGCTCGATGGAGTCTCCCGTCCAGGGGAGAGACTCCTTGAACCTGGGTGTGGGGGAGCTCCCACCGCATTCGGCAACCAGGGGACTTCCCCATCCAGTGAGAAAACCCCTCGAACCTGGGTATCTGGAGAGCTCGTATACCATCGTCCCCAGGATGGAGGAGTGTACCCCCTCCCGGGGCGAAACCCCACGAATCTGGGTGTCAGAGGGAGCTCCCACCAACACACAGGGACGAAGGGACTCCCCCCTTCTGGGGCGAGACCCCTCAAACCAGGGGGTCGTGTGCAGCTCCCACCAACACCCAGGGTCGAGGGGACTCCCCACTCCATAGGCGAGACCCCTCAAACATGGGTGTCAGGGGGAGCTCCCAGCAACATCCATGGTCGAGGGGACTCCCCCCTCCAGGGGTGATATCCCTCGAACCTGGTTGTCGGGGGGAGTTCCCACCACACCCAGGGTCGAGGGAACACCCCCTCCAGGGGCTTGATCCCCCGAATCTGGGTGTCAGGGGGAGCTTCTGTCCTGATTCTCAAAGCGGCGGCAGCGGCGGCATCAGGAGAGGCAGCAGCAGCCGCAGCAGCGCCACAGCAGCGGCAGCAAGATTGACTCTTGGACACACGTTGCTGCTGCTGCCAGGCCTGGCTGGGTATTGTGCGCCCAGGCTGGTGGACTGTAGTCGCAGCCTCTGCCGCCGCCACTGAGGTGACTGAGGAGAGAGGCACCTCCACGCTTGCGCCGCCGCCAGACTTCAGTGCCCAGTCCCCAACTCACCAGCGTTTTTCATTGGAATATACCTTGCACATTTATGACGATTCTGAGCGTAAGGGCAGACTTCTGCCAGGCTCAGCACAGCGTTGTGCCATAATTAACATTGCCTTTAAGACTCTGGACACCGAGGCTGACCTCAGAAATACTTGACTTTTTTTTTTTAATAGCAAGCATATTTTTTAATGACTCCAGCAAATTAAGCATTAAGTAAGCAAAAGTGGAAAAGGACCTACACTTTTAATGTGTCTCACTTGTGCCTAAATGTAGTAAAGGCTGCTTGTGTTTTGTATGTAGTTGGATTTTTTTGGACTCTGAAAGAATCCATCTGCAGACCTTGAGGCCCAAGTTAAATTTGGATTGGTGTGTATTCTAAATACTTCTGCTTATCTTGAAGAGGAAAGCTTCATAAAAAATACACAAGTTGAATGGAGAAAATATTGATTGATAATAGGCATTTTAGTGGTCTTTTTAAAATGTTTTCTGCTGTGGAACATTTCAAGATTTATTTGTTTTTTCAATTTTCCCCACCATACTCACACACGCACACTCACACTTTGTATTTGCCATAATGAACCGTCCAGCCCCTGTGGAGATCTCCTATGAGAACATGCGTTTTCTGATAACTCACAATCCTACCAATGCAACTCTCAACATGTTCACAGAGGAACTTAAGAAGTATGGAGTGACAACTTTGGTTTGAGTTTGGGATGCTACATATGATAAATCTCCAGTAGAAAAAGAAGAAATCTACATTCTAGATTGGCCATTTGATGATGGAGCTCAACCCCCTAATCAGATAGTAGATGATTGGCTGAACCTGTTAAAAACCAAATTCTGTGAAGAGCCAGGTTGCTGTGTTGCAGTGCCTTGTGTTGCAGGATTGGGAAGGACACCTGTGCTGGTTGCACTTGCTTTGATTGAATATGGAATGAAGTGTGAAGATGCAATTCAGTTTATAAGACAAAAAAGAAGGGGAGCATTAAATTCCAAACAGTTGCTTTACTTGGAGAAATATAGACCTAAATTGTGATTATGCTTCAGAGATACCAATGGGCATTGTATTTCGTTCAGTAGAAAGAAATACAAAGGAAGGCTTATGTGATTGTGCATTTAGAGGGAACTCTTGGTACCTGGAAATGTGAATCTGTAATTTTACCTGTGTCATTGAAGTAGTGATGGATTCAGTACTCCTCAACCACTCTTCTTAACAATTAGGAAAAAGTAAACAAATAAGAAATCCCTCTACAACATGAATAAAATGTTTAAGAAAAGAAAATGGAAAAAATAAAAATAAAAACAAATTTAACCAAAATGATTTAATTCACTTGTTTTGACAAAGAATAATACACTCAGCAATTTACCAGGATGCCGAAAGAGTTTATCCCATGTTCTTGAATGTATTCAGTGTTGGGAGTAGCCCAGGCTCCAAAGACTAACTTCCCCATCCTTCGCAGAAGAGCCTTCCAATGGTGAGCCCTGCTAGCTCACATGATCCTTACCCACCAATCAGACTATCCCTGCTGGCTCACATGATCCTTACCCACCAATCAGACCAGCCCTGCTGACTCACATGATCCTTACCCACCAATCAGAAAGCACTCCATGCCAACTGTCAAACCATTCTGTCATAACTGCCAAACAACCCCTGGCTCTATAAATATGCAGAGCTGTTTCTCAATAAATGGGCATTTTCTCTGACATCTGAGCCTTGTTTGTTCTTTCAAATTTAACCAAAATGTTTTAATTCACTTGTTTTGACAAAGGATAACACACTCAGCAATTTACCAGTAAGCCAAAAGAGTTTATCCCATATTCTTGAATGTATTCAGGTTCTTGACACTTCTCAGAAATTTGATATCTTCTGGCTAGTAGAGTGTGAAATGCATATAGTCATATGTGTAAATTTAGTGTACAAAAGTATAAATTTTGAAAAAAATTAGTTCAGTGGTGCTCCTGAAATAATTTCAAAATTGCTTGATGATCTCAAATGATCTTTCTTATAGTTTAAATGTGTATTTCTAATTCTGGTGGGCCAGTGGCAGGAGCAAACTGAGGACTCTTAAGAATTGGAGTCACCATGCCTTGCTGAAGGCAGGGGTGAGGGTAACAGTGAGATCAGGGCCCCATCTCTACATATGGCAGCTTCATTTTTCTGGTCCTTTATGCCAAAACCCAGCATTTCTTTATCCACCCTAAATCTTATATGCAGTCCAACAGCAAACTCTGTTGACTCAATTTCAAAACCATCTTCAAAGTCTGCCTATTTCTATCACTTCCCTTATGACCAATGTAGACCCAAACTGCCAATACCTCTCACCTGGATCTGTCCACTTCCTTTTCTCTCATTTATATTATCAATCAAGCTTTTGTTTCCACTTCTCTGCAGAACTTACTCAATAGTGACCTCCACATTGTGAAGCCCAGTGATTATTCTCAGTCCTTACTTTATTTGAAACACTGCTCTCTTTTGTTTTACAGAGTTCTAAAATTTTTTCTTTTCCTTTTTTTTTCTTTCTTCTTCTTTCTTTGGTGCTGGGGGAATGAACCAAGGGGTACTTAACCACAGATCTTTTAAAAATATTTTATCTAGTGAAAGGGTCTCACTGAGTTGCTTAGGGCATCTTTAAGTTGCTGAGGCTGGTTTTGAACTCTGATCCTACTTCTTCAGCCCCATGAGCCACTGTGATTACAGACAAGCACCACTTCCTTTTTTCCATTGACATTGCACCCTTCTAAGCTTTCTTTGCTGGTTCCCCATCAATTTGATAGCATCTATGCATAAGAGTGCTCCACACTTCAGTTGTTAATTGTCTTCTCTACTTATTCTATAATTGATTATATCCTAACAAATAGTTTTAAGCATAAACTAAGAACTCTAAAATGTGTACCTAGTCACATTAGCCTCTGAGGGGCCCAGTGAACAGCAGGCTGGGTCCAACCCCTTCCTGGGGAGGCAGACACTCACCAGAGCATAGCCTCTGGTGCAGGGCTGCCCCCTCTGACCAGCAGACTACCACAGAAGCTAAGATCCAGCCCAGACTGCCCACATCAGCACACATGGGATCAAGGATCTCAGTAGGCACAGTTCACCCCTCCCCTGAAAGGCCAGAGACCACCAGAGCAAGATCACCTCTTCTGACCAGCAGCAAGACCAGTGGCCCAGACCTACCCAAAACAGCCTCTGCAGTGCTCAATCATACAACACTCCAGGTCCACCCCTCTCCTGGCATGGCAGAGAACACCAGAGCATAGCCTTTGGCACAAGACCTTTCTGACCAGTAGACTACCATGGGAGGTCAAGCCCAGTGGCTCAGATACACTCACACCAGCCTCTATGGAGCCAGGCACAGTGGACTGGGTACACCTCTTTTCTAGCAGGGCACACACTCACCAGAACCTATCCTCTGGTTCAGGGATGTCTCCTCTGACCAGTAGACTACCATGGGAAGTCAATCCCAGTGGCCCAGATCTACCCACTCCAACTTATACAGCTCCCTGATCCAGGATGCAGTAGCAACCATTGAGGGATACCAGCAGGGTCTGGAAGCCCAACATCAAGGTGCAGTACAGACAGTCTGTACGGGTACTATAAGAATACAGGAAGAACTGTAATATCTCAGATCCACACTGCAAGAAAGGAAGTCACATAGACAACATGAAAAAACAAGGGAGGAAAATGCCCCCAAACAAACCAGGACACTATAATAACAGAATCTATATACAGCAAAGTTGATGAAATGTCAGAGAAGGAGGTCACAAGGTTCATAATTTAAATGATCTGCAAATTAAAGAATGACCTAAATGAGCAAATACAAGTAAAACGTGATCACTCCAACAATGAGATAACAGAGCAAATACAGGTATTAAAAGATTACTTCAAGAGATAGAGACCCTTAGGGAAAAAACAGTCAGAAATCCTTGAAATGAAAGATAAAATAAATCAAATAAAAAACTCAATAGAAAGCATAACTAAAAGACAAGATCAATTGGAAGAAAGAACATCAGATAATGAAGACAAAGTTTACAATCTAGAAAATAAAGTTGAACACACAGAGAAGGAAGTTAGAAACCATGAATAGAACATCCAAGAACTAAGGGACAGCATTAAAAGACCAAATCTAAGAGTTATTGGGATAGAGGAAGGCACAGAGTTTCATACCAAAGGAAAGTACAATCTCTTCAATAAGATAATATCAGAAAATTTCCCAAGCATGAAAAATGAATTTGAAATCCAAATACAAGAGGCTTATAAAACACCAAATGTACAAAATTACAACAGATCTACACCAAGGCACATTATAATGAAAATGCCTAGCATACAGAATAAGAACAGAATCATAAAAGCTGCAAGAGGGAGAAATCAGATCACATATAGGGGGAGACAAATTTGTATCTCAGCAGATTTTTCAATCCAGCCCCTCAAAGCCAGGAGATCATGGAACAATATATACCAAGCTCTGAAAGAAAATGGATGCCAACCAAGAATTTTATGTACAGCAAAACTATGTTTTAGATTTGATGATGAAATAAAAACATTCCACAATAAACGAAAGTTAAAAGAATTTACAACTAGAAACCCTGCACTACAGAACATCCTCAGCAAAGTATTCCAAGAAGAGGAAATGAAAAATAATGATAAAAATCAGCAGAGGAAGGGATTTCACTAAAGGAAAATCTAACCAGAAGAGAAACCAAGTCATGTTAAAAAACAATAATAAACAAAAATGGCTGGGAATACAAATTATGTCTCAATAATAACCCTGAATATTAATGGCGTAACTCACTAATCAAAAGACATAGACTAGCAGATTGAATCAGAAAAAAAGGCCCAACAATATGTTGCCTCCAAGAGACTCATCTCATAGAAAAAGACATTCAAAGACTGAAGGTGAAAGGTTGGGAAAAAATCATACAATTCACATCGTCTGCAGAAGCAAGCAGGGGTTTCCACCCTCATATCAAATAAAGTAGACTTCAAACTAAAGTCAATTAAAAAGGATAAAGAAGTACACTACATACTGATCAAGGGAACCATACACCAACAAGACTTAACAATTATATATATATATATATATATATATATATATATATATATATATATGTATTTTTTTCAACCAATGTAGCCGCTATGTTGATCAAACAACCCCTTCTCAAGTTCAAGAGTAAAATTGACCACAACACAATAATTTTGGGTGATTTTTAACACACCTCTTTCATCACTAGATACATCTTCCAACAAAAACTGAACAATGAATCTATAGAACTCAATAATACAATCAATAACTTAGACTTAACAGACACATATAGAATATTCCAACCTTCAATGAGAGAATATACTTTCTTCTCAGTAGCACATGGATCCTTCTCTAAAATAGACCATATACTATGCCACGAAGCAACTCTTAGCAAATATAAAAAAGTAGAGATTGTACTCTGCATTCTATCAGACCATAATTGAATGAAATTAGAAATCAATGATAAAAGAAGAAATAAAATCCACTCCAACATCTGGAGAGTAAATGATATGCTACTGAATGAACAATGGGTCACAGAAGACATCAAAGAGGAGATTAAAAAGTTTTTAAGGTGAATGAGAACACAGATAAAACATACTAAAATGTCTGGAACAACAGTATGAAAGCAATTCTAAGAGGAAGATTCATTGTATGGAATTTATTCCTTAAAAGAAGAAAAAGTCAATAAATAAATGACTTAACACTACATCTCAAAGACCTAGAAAAAGAAGAACAAGTCAACACCAAAAGTAGCAGAATACAGGAAATTATTAAAATCAGAGCTGAAATCAATGAAATGGAAACAAAAAGAAACAATTGAAAAATTTGACAGAACAAAAAGTTGGTTTTTTGAAAAAATAAATAAAATTGACAGACCCTTAGCCATGCTGATGAAGAGAAGGAGAGAGAAAACTCAAGTCACTAAGATATGTGATGAAAAAGGCAATATCACAACAGATAAAGAAATACAGAAGATAATCAGAAATTATTTTGAAAACCTGTACTCCAATCAAAT